TTCCTCTGAGAAACATGTTCACTTCTATTAGCGACTATCGATTGCCATTGTCTAAAAAAAGGAGTTGTGGTTGTTTTGGAATGCTTTGATCCGTACAGTTTTTTATTGTTGCTTGGACCATCCCAAAAGTTAGAAAAAGATACCTGGAAATGGAAAAGTTGTTTTTTTATTGTAGTAAACATATACACAAATTATACGTTAATTATACACAATATGTATTGTGTTGTTTTTTAGAGTGCACAAAGTTGTTGATTGAAATTGTAAGGGTCATGTAAAGTTGAAATATGTTTGAATTGATAAGTTCTAAGTTCAATTTGTTGTCATGTAAAGTAGACATATGTTGTTTATCTAATTATTGCATAACTACATTTGGTTTTGATTTTGCAATCATTCAGAATTGTGTATTACGTTTTTATATCGCTTTAGTGTTGTTTACATGTAGTTTATCTTATATATAACTATAAGGTTAATATTAGATAAATGCCAGGTCATGTATATCTAATGTATATATACAATATATCTAGTTGGCAACATGTTGTAAGCAATATCCCTCCATTGTGATTTAAAAACATATTCACATCAGTCATGTTCCTCTAAAATAAACAGATTTACTAAATAAATATTCAAGATTATAGGAATATCATTGTATTTACTTACTTTATATATTACATTTAGATATTCAAAAAGACGAGATTTACAAAACTAATCAATTCGTACGGAATCATTTTTTGTCCCTTATTTTGGACAATGGCAATCATAATCACCAATGGAAGTGAACATGTTTCTCAGAGTAATTACATCAAACACCTTGAAGAATAAAAATCAATACTGAACCATCATCACTCTTCCTTCTTCTTCGTAGTCCCTTTCTCAACCGTCTAAAATTCACCAAACAAGAATCACGATGAGTCCCGCATACTGGGCCAACTCGTCGATCTCCTCCCCATATCGATCCACACTCCCAACTCACCAAACACCCAATCGGGTACCAATATCGTCGACGATTTTCTTCCCCTGGAAGACAATATGCGCGGTGTTTTCCTTCAGAAACTTTGCGGCAAATCCGTCATTCATCGCGCGTTGGACGGTGCTGGGGTCGAATTAAACCGTCGGTCATCCTAAAAGTTCAATCAATTAATTGAACATCAATCCCAGCGCCGGCGATTTATCTTGTATTTTATTTTATTTTTTAGCATTGATGTCGGGGGTATTTTGCCTGATATGGAAAGAGAGTAACGTATCAAATTGGATTTAACTGAAATCTCATAATTATACAATTAAAATCACAATAGAATCCTTTATTGAATAAAGTTTGCGACAGATGTATATATGTAAATATAAATATATAAGTCTCCATGTACGTAAATTTCCCCTGATTTTTTTCTTTCTCTTTTCTCTTTTTAATTCCAAGTAGCTCTAGCTTACACCTTCTGGACCCCAAGCCCCTGGCCAGCTCAAGAACTTGCAAATTAAATTTGGGATGTGCCCCAAGTGATTTTCACTTTGTTCCCTTTTATACTCTTCAACCCCACGAGGCCTATCGCCACAAGAAGAATTGCCAACATCACATCTAGAAGGACTACCACAGACTTCCTCCTTCTGGGTTTTGAACACTCATTTGTACTATTTTTTGAGTTATCTAGTTATTACTATAATTGTCGCTTAAAAATAAAATAAAGAATACGACACAATAACAGGACCTATCACAACTTCAGTTCATTCTAGTGAATTTGACAGATGGGATTGGATATAGATTTGATTGGTTTTTTTTTTTTTTTTAACCATAGTTAATTTTGGGTAAATGTGGTATGGTAGTTGTTAGTGGGAATTTAAGTTTAAATTAAAAATAATATTTAAAATAAAATTATTAAAGTTGATTTGATTTAAAAATAGGTGAAAAATAATTAGTGTTTCTCCTATTTTTGTTATCTTTTTCTTTGTTAATTTATTAATTTTTTACCCTTTTTGAGGTCTTTTGATAGGATTTTCGGTCCTCCAGTCGTTTGTCTCATGTGTTTGTTTTTTTATTTCTCTATTTTCGTATTTTCTGTTGTTTTCCCAATTTTCGTGTATTTTTCTTGTCCTTGGAAGTGTACAGGTTCGGATCTTTGACTAGGTGTTTGGAGTTTATCCAGTCGAACTATCCCGACAAAATCCATGTCTCGGTTCGGAATTACAATCGACCAGCCTCTGTGTAGCCACTTGCTCGGGCAGGACCCAAACAACATACGGTTCAGATCCATCACTCCCCGGAGCATCTTGCGGCACTAGCCACGCCCCGGCAAAGCTAGCCTTCACCTCCATCACACCGCGTCGCCTGTCGCGTCGCGACACAACTCTACCATCATGCCGCGGGACAGCTCGTGACGCCATTAACCGCCCAGTTTTCTACTCGTTACACTGCGAAATGCCTCGCACTGCGGCGCTGCACACCCTTCGCGCCGCGACCACACACGCGACAACCATAACGTCCTGCCACATCGATGCATCGCACTGCGGCCCCATGACTTTTCAAAATTCGAAATCTGATTTATTTTGCAGTTTTAGAATTGCTATTAATCGTGATCGATCTGAGCGTTCAAGGAGATATTCTTCAAACTGTGTTTTATCATCTTCTCATATCTCATGCGAAAAAGGTTGGTTTTCTCTTCATTTTCTCTTGGTTTTCTTTAGGGATTCATTTTTTGGAAATTGTGGCACTCCAAAACGAACACGATTTGGTTTTGTATTATAATTCCGTTTCTCGACTTGGATTAATTGTAAGTTCCTTTCATTTTAATATGAATGTGAATTATTGTGTTGAATCTTTTGTTGGGATTGATATCAATATGTGTTGCTAAATCGATTCGTTAGGGATAAGAGATATTGTTTTGGTTCGATTTAGATTCATGTGTGCTTATTTGCCGTTCAATCTATTCGAGTTGTGTTTAATCTAGGATTAGATAATTGATCATCATTCTAATCGAATTAATCAATTTGTAGTATCGAAAGGGGAGAAATTGATTGATCTTTGCTCGTCTAGAATAGGCTTATTCGTTAATGTATTGCTTATGTGTTAATTGTTTCGATAATTGATTGTTCATGTTTGTTCTCTTGTTACGAAGAGTTATTGAGAACAAACCTCTAAAAGAGTATGTTATTATATCTCTTAACCAAGCGACTGTGTGCTAATTGATTGCTTGAGAACCATAAATGAATATCTCTGATTCCCTAACTCCCTCATCATCTTTTGAACTTCGCTTAGAATTTGAAGTGTGTCTTTATGAGAAGTTCTTCAAGGACTTGGTGACGAAGAAGAGAAGATTCGCAGACGGAGAGAAAGTGGTGGTTTACGAGGCGTCGAGTGCTATGCAGCACGATTTGCCCAAGAAAGAACGAGATCTCAAGGGTTTTGGGATTAAAATAGCTTTTAAGAATGGAAAAGAGGCTTCGAGGATGCTTGACCTCGGAGCAGGAATCAATCTTATGCCATTCTCTATTTTTCAACAACTCGGTCTCGGAGACTTGGGACCAACTCGTATGTGCCTCCAACTTCCTGGTCGCTCGATCTGATACCCCAAGGGGTAGTAGAAGACGTTCTTGTTCATGAAGGGTCGCGGTTCTCTCTCTCTCTCTCTCTCTCTC